TTTGGTGGACTCGCGTGCGGTTCGTGTGAGATGTGAGGGCCTCGAGGGGGGCTCGTTCCGTCGGGGGGAGGGAGTGGTCCGCGGGGCGGGTTCGTTCAGTTCGAAAACTCATGGGAACTTTCTATAAAAATTATCATGGAGTGAAAGATGAAATATTGCAATTAGGGTGTGATGCCCGTCTTGCTTATGAACGCCTGTTCACACTGGCACCGCGTCAATCGTTGAGGCGTGTTCACATTGTTTTCGGAATGTACAAGGGCAGAACTTCTAAGGGATGGCCTATTTATAGAGTTTAGGCTTCTTTTGTCTCGGTGATCGTCCCGTATCTGGAATCTCACTGCCTCATACCTTCAAGTAAATACATCGCACAAATTTGGTACGAACACCTTTTCCGCTGCGATCGCGCAGTGTGGTCGTAACACGGTTGATACCACTTTCTCGTCGCCATCAGTTCGTTATGATGAAAGAGGTACCCAGGAAAGGCACGGACGAGCGTATTGAGAAAAGATTAACACGAAAACAAAGTTTGAGGTCATGAGGTGAGAGGCCAGACTCCGGGATTATAAATTCGCCAGGCATGTGAAAACATCGGAGTAGCGCCTCGAAGAGCCCTAGTATTAGCTAACCACGGTACAACATCCGAAGCGGGCCCGTTGTCAGAAAACATCGTCAAACGAGTAATCCCACTAGCTAATGATACATCGGCATGAGATAACACTTATCCCCTCGACTAAATGTTAATGCCTACGAGAGTAGCGTTGACAGAAAACACATCGTTAGCTACGAGCAAACTCACGCACTAAGCCAGGAACTCCTGTTCATAATTCATGTCTCAAGGGGCTGGCTGAATTGGAATGAGAATCCGACTCACAAAAATCTTAAATTCATACCAGATTTATTGGTACATCCGCACAGCTGAATAAGTGCATATTATGACCACCTCGCGCCTACCGCTGACCACATAAATCATCAATTAGAATGGAACCACGACGCGCTCTTCATCGACACTTATTCTGGCACCAACAAGACACACTCCCACGCGCAGTAGGACACGACAACGCGGCAGAGTCCGGGTGTTTGCTAATCCCCGACCGGCTTGGAGGGAGGTCACGTGAAATATCAACGGACTTGCGACGATGACGTTCAAAACCGTTAACCAACTAACGTTAACAACCTCACTACAACACCGCCAACACTAACCTTGCCACAGGCTATCGAATAGGTACTCATTGTGTCGGCACGAGCGCGCTACTATTGATGACGGCATGCTTACAGGTCCACCGAAAATTAATCTAGTGGTGTGGGGACTCAGACTGATGCCATGAGTGCGCGACAAAAACCCTGAACCCTAACTCCTAACAAAACGGCCTTAAGACCCGTAAATCCTACACCCTAATCCGTAAAACACCTAGAACGCGACTACACCTCGAGACGCGCTAAAACCATTAAAACCCTAATCCTGACACTAAAAGCCGCTAATGGGCCTAACACGTATTCTAACACTAGTGCCTGCCACGACTTGCGGTCACCTCCCGTCCCGACTGCGACGGAACCCCCCGCGGCGACGCCCCCGCGGGGGATAGCATAGTTGAGAACACCGAGCCCACGGCGCCCACGAGTCGTGGCACACCGCACAGACGGCCCCGTAAAACAACCACGAACAACACGCACACCAAGCTCGCCATTTGTAAAAGTATGGCCTCTTGTTTTATGATAGGCTAGATAATTAATGATGTGTTGATGTGATTTTCAAGAAAAAAAACACATTTTATTTTCTATTATCACACACCTCTCATAATATCACTAACTAATGTACATTCGTAGTGTAACAATGGGTTATTTCTCAAACCTCTAATATTGAAGTTACGAGAGGGTTCTGGACGTCTCGTAATGTAATAAGGAGGAATTTGTTCGAGAATTTTCTCATTCTCAGTAAGCGGCTACGCTGCGACTGTTCCTGTGTCCCAGGTTTACGAGTGGGAAGTTAATGTAAAGAACCTACATGTTAAAGCTAATCTTTGTTTGCTGACAACGGCTTTTCCAAGGTTAAGCTCCAAATAAATTAACTTGCAAACGGCCACCGGGGGGCCAAAATGCGCTGAGGCGGTCTACTGCGCGCGTTTCGGGCGTATCAGTGGAACATCGTCAGCACCTCTCGTAGTTCTGGGTACGAGGTCCCCTCCCTTCTCCCCTTCCCTCTAGATAGCAATAATGTAATAACCCAACCCAAGAGGATAGGGGCGCCCTATCCTTTTGGGTTTGGGTTAACATTATTGTATTCTACCGCGTTCCTCCTTTCTCCACAGTTTTCTCCGACACCCCCTCCTCCACCAGACTTCTCTCCTCTCTCCTTCTCGGATCCCACCAGCATTCTTCTTCTCCCCCTTACCTCATTCTTTCACATAAGCTTCTCCCTACATGCCACCTACTAGTACTACTGCTAACTTCCTCCTATCTCTCCCCCCTCCCTACACTGGCTCCTTCGCTACCAGCTGTACCGGCGAGAACTAGGCAGAGCCGAAGCGCGTATCGGAGCGGACTGTCGCAGGGAGCGACGACGCGAAATCGCCACGCGCCGAATAGACCCGTGTAGCAGGGGCGTGCGCAAGGCACCACGCGGTGGCGGTGGCGTTTGTAAGTTAAATTTACGCCTGCTAAGCCCTGACTGTTTACCGGTAGCGGCAGGGCGCGGATGCAGGATTTGCTAGGGGGGGTGCAGTGGAAAAGGGCACTGTTGAGATTTTGTTTGGGCGAACCTGAAGCGGCGGTCTGGGCCCGCCGGCTTTGTGCGCGAGGGACCGCAGCAGGGCGAAGGAACCGGTGTGGCGGGTCACCAGGGGGCCTCCACCCAGAAAATTTTTTAAAAATCAGACTCTTTTTATGCATTTTCAGAAGCATAAATGAGGCGAATTTCTTTGTACTTCAAGATCCCTTGTCATAGCAAATGAAAAACAACAGACCAATTCCACGTACACAGGCAAAAATCGCACGAAAGCCACAAACAAGGAAACCATCGAACGATTAGCTTGAAATTAAACTGCCATCAGGAAAGCGATCGGAAAGAGCTACTATGTACACCGCCGCGGTGAAATCAAACTCTGCGATAGTGCAGACTTGAACAGCTTTTAATTACACAAAGAAAGTTGAAATCACTTACAGTGTACGTAATTTATATTATATTGCTTTCCGTTTCCATACATTTACTATAAAACTTGAACTTGCAACTTGAATTTCAACAACTGATATAATACTGACTTAAAACATAACTCAGTATTACTCTTCGCTCAGACAGGGGCGTGTACAGGATTTTAGTGGGGGGGGGGTACAATCGTAACCCAAACACTTGGAGCCCAATCACAGCGCGAAGAGGGGGTTTGGGGGGGCCAACCCGCCAGAAAAATTTGTTGAAATTAGACCCCCCCTCAAGATGCGTTTTCTGCGCGAGCCGAGGGGCGGGGGTCCGGACAACGGCTGTCCCTAGTCGGTAGTCCTGCCTTTGCCTCATATGGCACAGTCGCGCCTTTAATTTAACAGTCTTAGAACGTGACAGTGTCCAGCGACAGGCCAGCCGCCCCAGCCCCCCAACTTCAGTATGGTCTTGGCCAACATCGGGTGTTCACATGTACTAGTCCAGTGATTCAAAATCACACTGTAGACGTGTTGTGAATTGTTATTATTATATTTCATGCGATAACTGCTGTGCCACCAATGAAGCAGGCTTGATACAAAAGGTAAACTATAAACTAATTCAAGCATGTCGGTTGAATTGCGCATCTCCCAAGAATAACACGGCCCGCAAAGTAAATTCTAATATCCATGTGGGTCTGTTAAATTGCCCTTGTGGACTTATTTTAACAGGGACAGTAGGCCTCTAAGATTATTACTGGCATACCAACTGTACTTACTGTAAGGTAACAAATCGTTCTATGAACCCACACGTATTTGTTACCCAGATAACACTAATTTAATTGCTTGATATATTTAATTACACCATCAACGCTACGAAAATTTGAAGCGGCCGCCGCAGAACACCCGCGGCGACGGCCGTGCGCCACCCCGGAAAAAGTTGGCGTATTTGACCATTTATTTGCACGTTACAGACCGAAGGGTCTAAGTCAACCAAAAGTGCAATTATATTTATACTAAATGCTATTAACGGCGATACGATATCATTTTAGGGAACAAATTCATCCATATTATAACTGAACTATATGTCGTTTATAAGATATACAATCCTTGTATTGCTTTTAAATGAATAAATCTAATAAACACCCTCGTCTGTACCCCTTGGCTGGAAAGTGGTTTGCGGGCAAACTTATCATATCGTGCGCGAATTGAGTGGCGGCCAGCAACCCGTCGTTGTATATCAAACTGAGTCGTTAGTTTTAAACATTAAAAAAAAATATTTCTAATGGTGATTGAACCATGAAACTTTTTATGGTGCCGTAATTATATAACGGCTTAAATTAACTGAAAATGACCCTAGAATCTAGAGTAAACTCTCCCTTTAAAAGAACCGTCAAACTTGTACAGAGCAGCCGCTTAAGCGAAGTACTTAGCAGAAGTGGTCTTTGATGAAAGGTGCCTATAAAACACCGGTTGAACACCAAGCGGCCTTTACAGACAGGTGGTGTCCTTTTCTAGAGGTGACCATGATCAGAGCTTTGACTGTTTTGATGGCTTTCATTGTGATATTACAGTTGGCTGACTCATATCCCTTCAGAAGAGCTGCACAGATCACAGCCTACGCTCTCCACAGAGGACAAGCAATTGGTAATTACTCAGAGATATTATTTGGGTTCACATAGGGTCAAAAGTGTTAAGGATACTCTCAACCTTTTGCACGGGTATTGCTCTAATGAATCTTAAACGTTTATTGACGAATGAATCGAATTAATCACGACGTTTTATTAATGAGAGGACGAATATCTCTATGCTCAAGCCCAAAAAAATTCATGAAATTCCAGCACCTAATTATGTACCCACACGAAATTTTGAATTTTATGTAAAAAATGGTCTTTTTGGGAATTTTTTCTCAATTATCCACAAGAGAGTGAGGAAGCAAAATTTATCGCCACAGGTTAAGCAGCAATATGTACCAAAATAGCGCATAACAGAGATTTTTCTTTAAGTTTCATATATTTATGAGAGAAAATGTAAAAAACTGCTTATAAAATCAAGTTGTGTTAGAAATTGGAAATTTTAGCAAATAAAGGGGCATAACTAATAAAATACGGCACTTAATAAACAATCCCTGACGCGCTTTTTTTAAAAACAGCAATATGTTACCATTAAAACGAGTGTAAAATTAAATTAATCAGAGTTGTAATCACAAAGAGCATATCCATTTATACATGCTACTATGTCAGAAATTAATACGGAGAAAATCAGCGCGTTTTTTCTTATTTTTTTCTCGACGAAATGTATCCGAGCCGCCTATGTGAGGGAATGCCAATTTTCATCTCACCATGATAATTTTATAGAAAGTTATGAGTTTTGAATGAAGAAAGCGGACACGAAGAGGAGGCCATTCAAGACGAGCCAAAATAACATCAACACTATCATCATAGTTTCTGGAAACCCATTTCGCAGCTTTATGCTGAATGGTGTCCAATTTAGAACAGTTCTGAAGTCTATAGGGGCACCAGCCTGGCGAAGCATATTCTAATATGGGCAGAACCATAGTTTTAAAAGCTAGGGACTGAGTTTTAGAGTCAGCAAAGCTAAGATTACGCCGTATCATGCCGAGGGATCGGGATGCTTTCTTACAAATATAGTCAACGTGGGCATTCCAGCGAAGATCGTTACTAATAATAACACCCAAATATTTGTAAGTAGGGGTAAGAGATAAATATTTATGATACAGCGAGTAAGTAAAAGTCAAGGGTGATTTGGAGTGAGTAATGCGGAGAATTTTACATTTCTCTGTATTGAATGACATACCCCATGATGTTGCCCACTTCTCAGTACGAGTAAGGATACTCTGGAGGGCTAACTGGTCGCTCTTATTGAAGATGGTGCGGTACAGAACAGCGTCGTCAGCAAAGAGGCGAATAGAAGTAGAAGGGTCAGTTTCGGCCAACAAATCATTTATAAAGGATAAGAACAGCAATGGACCAAGCACAGAACCTTGGGGTATACCCGATGTGACAGCGGCCACATCTAACATGCTGCCGTTAACACAGACAATTTGAGATCTATCCTTCAAAAAGTCAGAGATCCATTTTAACGTAGTACTTAGTATCCAAACCCAAGTGACCAAGTTTGAAACTTAAAAGGTCATGAGGGACCCTATCAAAGGCCTTACTAAAATCTAGGAATACTGCATCAACCTGCCGAGATTTGTCAAGACTTAATGTCCAGTCATGAAAAACGTTGATTAACTGGGTAACGGTAGAAAACCCATGCCGAAACCAATGTCGATGATGGGACAGGATATCATGCCTATCGAAATAGTTCATAACAGAGGAGTAGACTATATGCTCAAATGCCTTAGAGCAAAGAGAAGTCAAAGATATTGGGCGATAATTTGACGCAAGGGAAGATCCACCACCTTTATAAACTGGGGTTATAAGAGCCTTTTTGCAATCAAAAGGAAGAGAACCTAGATCGTATGACTGACAAAACAAATTGTGT